TGTGCCTCAAGTGCTATGACAGCTGCTTGAAATGATGCCTTGTCAGTATCTGGCAGTCGATGAAATACAGACTGAGCTCTTCCAGTAAGCCGGACCTTCAAAAACGCAATTTGTTGTTGGCATCCCACTGATTCACGTCGGCACAGTCATTAAAATGTAAGAGCCACTGTTCCCAGTTGCTTTCTCCTGAGAATGAGTCTGGAAGTATGATTGGCTTAGAAGCCATGGCCACAGGTGTCCTAAGAAGAAGAGTGCAGAGACAAACAGAAATAAAAATGGGGGCTAACCACGTTTCGTGGCCGGAAACAATACAAAAGTAATTGTTAACCGGCAAGCTGACTTGAGAGAGGGGCTACCCACTGCGCCAAATGTAATACTGGTTCTCTGTACCAATAATAATATTAAAAGGACCGTTTGTAATCCGATTGATAATGATAAAGATTATGGAACACACACACCAAAAGTCACAAAAGTTAGAACCATACACTCTAGTCAACCACACCCTGTCACACACCCCAAAACATAATACATAATAATTACTAAGTTCAATAATAGTTATTACAACATACTTAAATGGTGATGATGCTTTTGAAAGCTCTTCTTTCAAAAATTGACAGACTTTCATTTTTAATTCCTCAACAGCTTCTTTATATTCCTTAATAACTGGCTTAGCCTCCTCTATATTGAGCTGATTAACAAGAAATTCCAGCATCCTAATATCATCAAGTGAACTGTTCTCACGTACTAATTGTAGAATGCTACGGATGTCATTACGCTGAGCTAACTGAGGCATTAGTGTTTTGTCATATGCATGGCCCAGTAGAAGTTTGATATTATAAAGGGATGGAGACTGAGGGTTTCTCTTCATGATTGATCTAAATTTGAGGAATGTCTGCCCAAACTTGAATTGCATTGTCTCAAAATTTGAAGTGACACTCCAAGGAAGGTACATTTTGAGCCTTTCGATAAAACAATTATAATCAACATAATAATTAAACTCTTACCATAATCATCATCATCACTCCCATAAGCCTCTCCTATACAACAATCATTAGTTACTGGTATAATGTTATAATACATGTACTTACTGTAGTCTCTCATGATAGCATTTCCAATATCAGCAGTGACTTTGTACTTACATAAAATATCAGCAAATACTACAAGTTTTCTATGATCAATACATACAGCTGCCTTGATGTCACCCAGTAGTTCTTCATGTATATAACGCGGGGCAATCATCTTTTGTATCAGACCTGCGTTATACAATTCTATACCTAGCTGAGGTACATGTAATGCAGACAGTAGAGCTTGGTCTGAGGAATAACAAGAAAGAATTCTACAAGCAGGATGAACTAAACAATAAATAAATAAATAAAATGCTCATTTTCAATTAACTCACCCTTCATATCTATTCCATCAGCTACTCTATTCTTTCCTATTTTCCTCAATGCTGATACCAATGTACTGATAGTAGGACCACCTTTCTTCTGTACAGTGTACTGTACATTATCAGCTGTCTGCAACCATTTTAGTAAGACACTCACGTAGACCACCATAAGTATTTCCTCTATTCTTCGATGTGATAGCATCTAGTCTACGAAGAGATAGTCCAAGATAAAGACCAAGATTACGGTAAGTGATTCCTGAGTAACCGTGTCTTGTCAGTAATAATAATACCCAAGGTAGATCAGCAACTATTGAATAATTAATTTCATGGAATAAAAAAAATAAACAATCTAATATACTTGTCAGTTGATTTCGAGGCACTACTGGCACAGAAGAAGGGAGAGGAGAAGGGAGAGAAGAACTCGGAGAAGCAAACTGAGAAGCCATTATAATTCTCAAGGCCGGCCCTTGGGTGTCGGTCGGTGGGCCATTGGGCTGACATGTTCACGTGATCTACCACCAAACCATAATAAATCAGATGGCATCCATTGCAGCACAGAGCTCTAGACTATAATTATTTTAAAGAAATTCAAAAGAAACATATGAAATAATATAAAAAATACAATCTTCTTCTCATTGCTTGTTCAATTTTATACAACACTGTTCAGGTACTTCTCCATTAACTATACAAGATACTCTAATTATTACAATACTTTAATATAATAAACTTACAACACTGAGAGATTAGTTTAGCTATCCTCACAAAAGCAATGTTTCCCTTGTTCATTACAATATTTAGAAACACCTCAAGCTGATCAGGACACACATCAACTACTGACATTATACAGTTAATAAAAGTATCAGCTTTTCTGCTAATGACTGCCCTCTTAGTATCTTCACATCAAATATCTTATCATATTCTGTTGAATGAATTATTTTGGCTGATTTACAAGCTACAGCTATGTCACAGAAAAATGTCTATCTCACAAACCTTGCAGTTTACAGTCTTAAAATTTGTTAAAAATTTTAAAGTTACTATGCATTAAAAATAAAAAAAAAATAGAAAAAAGGTACATAAAATCGTATTATTTGGTTTTATTCCTTGTATTTGTCCATTAGTGTATCAGCTAGTGCAATAGTTCTCAAAGTGTCTTCCTCTCTCAGTATATCTATGAATATACCAAACACTTTTCCATTCATATGAATAGAACTCAAAATGATGTGAAGCAATTCATCCATTTTGTCATCGTCAGTTTCTCTAGCAGTTATTTTCCTTTTCTCTCTTGAATTTACAATTTTGTGTTCCAGCAACTTGTCGACTAAAAAGCTGATATCAATCCCACAGTCCTTTATTGATGAAGTACATTCTGTCATTACTCTATGAGCAATATCACCTCTAAATGTACCTATTAATGTGTTATTATAATAATCAGTTACTATTACTAACTAACTAACCGCTTGGAGTAGGAGGAGGAGGAGCTGAAGGAGGTGATCTGTTGATATTAACAGGATCTGTTTAAGAGAATATAAAACAATGCATTATACTGTGTAATTATTATACGTTACCTGATGATGAAATATTTCTCAGTGATCTGTTAATAATAATTTCCATTTGTTCCTGTACACCTTTCAATGGTACAGAATAACTCAAGTTAGGTACAGTATGGGGACTATTCTCAGCATATATTGATACCAGACAAGATGGAGGGATTGTAGTACTAATGTCACCAAAACCAAGTATGTCACGTTCTCTAATCTATTATAATACCATTACAATAATAACTACAACATTACTAACATACCAGACAAGGATTCTTATGAGGACTAACAGTCCAGCCAGTTGTTGGCTTCAACTGTTGACCATCAAATATTAACTGAACACAAGCATATTTCAGAGATGGATTAAGCTGGAATGTAAAATCCTCATCCATTTCACGAATGGCATATGTCTGCTTTATATACTGCATCAAAATAACAAATAATGAATTCAAATACTCAAGCAATTTACCTGACGTAAGGCATTCAAATCTCTAGCAGCAGTGAATCTCAGTAAATCTGCTCGTTCATAAAACACTTGTCCAGCATACACTGTAGCTTCAGGTATACCAGTGGAATGAGTAGATACAACTATAATGATGAATTATTGAGAGGTACATGCATATAATATAAATAGGTACTTACTAAGTGTTGATGAAGTGTTTGGTTGGTCACATGATTCTAAAGCAATTGTTCCATTCTCATCATCTTTCTCTTCTTCATTCCCTCCAGCTACTCCTCTACCTGCTCCTCCTTCTTGTCCTCCTGCTCCTTGTCCCTCTCCTCCTCTTGTCTCTCTCTTTCCT